GACTTCCTGAAAAGCTCAAATTATTGTGAACGATGCCTGGAACCAGCACATTCGTTGAAACCAAGTAAATATAAATTACCTTGCAAAATTTGTGACAGGGATCACCATACATCGTTACACGTGGAACAAACAGATGAGACTCCGGACAAGGAAAGCACTGCAAATGTTATGTTTTCGCATCAAGACAACACAACTAATGTACTGCTAGCTACAATTGCAATTACTATTATGGATGCACAAAATAGACCACATATTGTACGGGCTCTGCTAGACAGCGGATCACAAGAGAATTGAATAACGAGGGATCTAGCGGACAAATTAGCTGTCCCTCTGAACGGTAATGTAAATACATTGAAGGTATTACAAGGAAGCTAGCTAGCTATAACACTGTGGCAGTAGAAATTAAATCCAATATCTCTGTATTTTCAAGAAGGATCAACTGCATAGTAATGGACAACATAACAAGTTATCTACCGACATCAAAAATCAATATTAAAAACTGAAAAATTCCTAAAGGAGTGCTTTTAGCTGACACAATGTTTGCAAGCCCTGGCCCAATTCAAATGTTAATTGGAGTCGAACTATTCTTCGAAATTTTGCAGAAAGATGTAATTAGATTAGGATACAACTTACCAATTTTAAGAAATAGCTTGTTTGAATGGGTACTATCTGGTGCATACAAGCAACAAACAAATTCAAATTATGTTGGATTTGTATCAAATGTACAACTGCATAAAGCCATCGCCAAGTTCTGAAATTTGGAAGAAGTGTTAGAGCCAACAATCCATGAGTCAGAGAAGGTATGTGAAGAGTACTTCTCAAAGACTGTCAGTCGTAGAAGATACATAGTGTCATTGCCATTTAAACAAGATAAAAAAATGAATTAAGATATTCTTTACAGATTACAGATCATAAACCTAGTAAAGCGATTTAAAAGAAATGAAGACTTAAAAATTATGAACAAATATTTAAAATTAGGACCTGCAGTACCAGTACCAATAACAGAACTTAATCATCCACATTATTATTGACCACACCACCCAGTTATCAAGCAATGGGGCTCAACGAAGTTGCGAGTTGTTTTTGATGCTGCTGCAAAAAGTTCAATTGGGGTTTTGCTGAATGATACACTGCATACTGGACCAAAATTGCAGCAAGAACTAATATCTATTTTAATCAGATTTCGCTGTTGGAAGCACGTTTTTATAAGCGATACTGTAAAGATGTGCAGATAAATAAAAATTAGTAAAGATTAAAAAAACCAAAAGAACTTCGAATAATAAGCAAGGATCATCACTTGACTTTGAAGATTTGAAAGTTAAAATTATTTAATTCTCTTTGTTGATGCGGGAGGACTTCTACGAGTAGGTGGGAGACTAGGCTAATCACTGATATCATATGTACAGAAACATCGGATAATTCTTCTGAAGAGACATCATATGAGATACTTGACGTTACAACAGAAGTACATTGGAATATTGCATGCTGACATTCAAGCCATACTGATGAATATAAGAAAGAATTATTGGCCTATAAATAAAAGAAGTAGTGATATAATTAAAAAGTGCACAACATATAAATGTTTCATGTCTCGAAGAGAAAAATGTCAAACCTGTGTAGGTGCCAGTAATATAATAGATAGAATCTATAAATATTTTAAAAGTAATATTAATAAAAAACAACTCATTGAGGGTGTTCCAAACATAAGCAATACTTGGAAATTCATACCGTCACATGCACCACATTTTGGAGAACTATGGGAACGGAACATCAGAACAATGAAGCACTACTTAAACCGGAGCACAACTTGTCTAATTTATGAAGAGTATTTAACATTCTTGAATCAGGTGGAAGCAATAATCGATTCAAGACCCATAATTCCAGTAGATGATAGTACTTATTCTGTGTTTATAACCCCTAGTCACTTTCTCACAGGTGATATTATCACTGCTAATCCTGAACCCGTAGTAGATAGTACTGCCCTAAGAAATAAATTAAACATACATAGACAGTTAAATGCGATGAGAGATAGGTTTTGGACCTTGTGGTCTACGGCATATTTAGCAGAGCTAGAGAAGCGGGCAAAATGGACTGCATCCTTGGACAACCTAGCAGTTGATAGAGTAGTATTAATAAAAGAGGACCATGTCGCACCACCACACTGGCCAGTAGGTCGGATAGTCAGCATCACAAAGGGCAAAAATGTCAAGGTTCGTGTGGCCACTGTCAAAACCACTCAAGGATACATGTGCGACCTATTGTGAAATTGATTCCTTTAATTGATATAGACAATAATTAAGTGTGTAAATCTAGCTCAGAATTGAAACGAGATATTTAAGATTAATTTTTTAAAATCATAAATAAATTTAAAATTGGAATTAGGTTAAGTTGACACATTATTAAAGTTTATTAAGTTATGTCAATATGATAAAATATAATTTTCATATACCCAGCTGTCAAATGAAATACTTAGCACTAAGTTTGTATATATATCCTAGCTTGAATTAATGTAACTAAAAATGTATTACTATTTTGGCTTGTGACAATCTTATGATATTGTATAACTTGATATGTAAGATAATATCATTCTTTTTGCGCGCGCAGGATGTTGAATATTCATATTAATAGTAGCGCCATCTAGTATCTTTACTGTGTTTCAAGTAAATATTTTTCATGTTCTATATATTGGTACCACTGTTAAAATATCCTATGTTTCATTTTTATATCCGTTTTAAGAATTATTCTGATTTATTCCGATTTTAGCCTTATGGCAATAAAGAAGTAAATATGTGTTTCCTTTTCTAAGTGTTTGATATTTACTTTTTACACATCGTAAGATATTATCACAAACATAAATAAAACTTTTATGATTAGTATGTTTTGATAATATTTTTGCAATTTAATATTGATTTTTTAAATAAAATGTCCACCTAACAAACTTTGTCTATAAAAATGTACTATATCATAAGCATATTTGTTCCGTCACGTCATATTATTTAACACCTCGTTAAAAATATGCACAAATTAAATAAAATGCATTGGTGTATTAAACATGTACCAGTGGTAAAATAATTTTAAGAATCGAAGACCCGTGTGCTCAAGGTTTGTGCAACGCTTTGAGACGCCGCTACGGGCTGCAGTTAGGCCGACACCCGATGAATGTGTGATATTGCTTCAGACATTTATTTGTGATATTGAGTTTTAGTTGATCGGCCGAAGATGTCCATAAAATAATGGAAAATTTATTAAAACTAGCTGTAAGTGGAATTCTGTCTTAAGGCAATTAGGGCATCGTGCCTTAAGGCAAATTGCTGGAACTTCCCGTACCAAAAATTATTATTTTTTTTTAAAAAAGATTAACATTTTTGAAAAAAAATTACTTCGAAAAAATAAGATTTTTGAGAAACTATAAATTCGACAAAAAATTACTTTTTTTTAAATTTTTTTTTTTTAATTTTTTTAAAAAAAAAAAAAAAAAAAAAATTAACATTTTTTTTCTGAAAAAAAATTTTTTTTCTTTATTTTGACATATTTTGGAAGATCTGAACTTGTTTTTCAAAGCAATCGTACTGCTTTAACTGCATAGAGACAAAATATAAAGCGTGTAAGCGCTAACGGGTAAACATTGATACGGAACCCATAGAAAAATAAACAAAATTTATACTTATTGTTAAAATCTCTATAAAATATCTGAAAATTTGATGTGCATATATCTAATGATCATTTTTGACCGCCAAATGGCATTTTTTTTACTTTTTTCGTTAGATCTCCGAAACCGCTAGGCCTGCCTTAATGAAAATTTGTTCAATTCTTTATCTTGCTAGTACAAGTAAAAAGTTTTTTGAATTATTAAAATCGGACGCTCCGTTCTCTTAAAAATTGAGTTACCGTTTTTGGCACTTTTTGCCCCGTATCTTCGGAACGGCTAGACCAGCCTTCGCCAAAAACTAATCAGCACGTCTCCTTATCAATACGAATCGAATGTTTTTCGAATTATTCAAATCGGTTGATCCGTGTTCCCGAAATCGTCGACGAAAATTTGTATCCGCACATACATACACACACGCATACATCCATTTTTTCTAAGGTATGCCAAAATGTTCAGAAACCTCTGAAACGTAAAGATATATAAAAATTTTCATTTTTTGCGATTACTATAACTTACCCTACGGGAAGTTAAAAAAGAAGCTCAGCTGCAATACAGAGAGTGTGGACGTAAAATAAAAGGCGAGAAAAAAAAGTTTCAGAGAAACTTAAATATTTATTAATGAACTATTATTATTATTAATAATATTATTATTGATCCAGAAATCATTATCACGAAATATCAATCGTCACCAGAAAAGATGCGGTAATTTCTTCCGTTAGTACTTTTCTGTTCGGAGCAAAAGACGTGGATGTGCTCAGCGGACGTGGAAGTAGATGTGCTCAGCGGACGTAATTTAATCGTGTATTATTAACACTAAACATACCATAACGGGTCAAATGACCCATTTGGAACTTTTGCATTGAAAATGCACGTATTATTTCATTGCGTTTGCACATTTGACTTCATGACTTTTTTAAGTAATTAAAGTAAAGTTATAAACATTTTTTTTCTTGTTTGTTTTGTGTTTTATTCTGAGTAATCCTTCTGTATACCGATATCTACCACAATGGGTCATTTGACCCGGAGGAAAATTTTTGGTTTAAGAGAGTGTCGAGTCATATTTGTAGTCAGTAAGTTGCAAATTCCTTCTAAACACTGTTGCGTAAATTAGTTTAAAACGAAAAGCTCAGAGTAATTTCAAGAAAATATCAAATTTTGATAGAAAATAGCTTTTTTATTGTTAGAAAAAGTGGCAGAAATTAAAAGTCTTGGTAAGTACCTAGCTTATATTTTATTTTGAAGCAAACAGACAGTACAAGTTATTAGAAGATATAAATATATTGGCGAAGAGTTTTCAGAAATTAGTGAAGATGAATTTTCTGAAAATGAAGAAATATTGGTTGAAAATAAAATGTTTGATTCAACAGATACTGACGATGAAGAGGAAAATATTGTGAATATATGTAGTGGCCGAAAAAGAATAAGATTACTCTCAGATTCGGAAGAAAGTGAAGTAGAAATAAATGAACAAGATATTGCAAATGATGGATCTGTTTGGCAAGTAGGTGTCACACCTGGAAAAGCACCACTTCATAACATTTTCAAGCAAGAAGTAGGCCCAACAGGATATGCAAAACGTTATATAATGGAAGGTAAAGTTATTACTGCATTTTCATTGACAATTGATCACCGTATTATGAACCATATAAGAACATGCACAATAGAAGAAGCAAAGAGAGTGTTAGGTTCTGATTGGAGTTTATCTAAAAAAATTAGATGCATTTATTGCAATTTTATATGCTCGAGCTGCATATAGAGCAAATAATTTGAATATTTCCTTTTTGTGGAATCTTCCTGATTAGCCTCTCCAAGTTTTTAACTTCCCGAAGGAGAAGTTTATGTTTTCATCAAAAAATCCGATTCGCTAATTTTATGTTTTCTCGACGTTTCAAGCCATTCTGAATCGAATGAGACCAATTTGGAAAAAGTATGTGTGTGTGTGTGTGTGTGTGTGTGTGTGTGTGTTGTGTGTGTGTGTGTGTGTGTGAACAGATTTTTTGCCGTAAATCGACGTTTTCTCCAAAACGGTTGGACCGATTTCAAAAATTTAAAAGCCATTTGATGTATCTCGATGAGGACTATCGTCTCTGAGTTTTGTGCGGCGATCGGCCCGGCCGTTTCTTTCTTGTAATTGCAGAAAAGTGGAAAATTTTTCGTCCACGTTTTAGCCCGCAATTCTGAATCGATTCTGAAAATTCAAAAACCGTTCGATAGATATTGGTTGGGAATCGTGCTGATTAGTTTTTGGTAAAGATCGGCCGGGCCGTTTTCTTGTAATAAAGTTTTTAAAAAAAAAAATTTGACGATTTTTATGATTATTTTTTGACGATAGATACCATAGTTTTCTAGGTCATACTAAAATATTACGGCCCTACGACAACTGGTTCAGCTTTAAAAATTCGTCAAAGTTTGCAAAATCAGTATGGTCTTTTTGGCATTTGTCAAAATTAGACTTTTGATCGACGTTTTTCTCAAAAACGCCTGAACCGATTTTGGAAATTTAAAGCCATTTGATGTATTTCGGTGAGAACTATCGTTTGTCAGTTTTGTGTGCAACGATCTGCCAAGCCGTTTCTTTGTAATTTGAAAAAAAGTGTTGAACTTTTCGTCCACATTTAAGCTCATTCTACCGAACCGATTTTAAAAAATCAAAAACTGTTCGAAAGATATTAGTTGGGAATGATGCTGATTAATTTTAGGTGAAAATCTACCGAGCCGTTTTTCTTGTAATTAACTGTTGAAAAAAAGTGTTAAATTTTCGTCCACATTTAAGCTCATCCTACCGAACCGATTTTGAAAAATCAAAAACTGTTCGAAAGATATCATTTGAGAATGATGCTGATTAATTTATGTGAAAATCTACCGAGCCGTTTTCTTGTAATTAAATGTTGAAAAAAAGTGTAAACTTTCGTCCACATTTAAGCTCATCCTACCGAACCGATTTTGAAAAATCAAAACTGTTCGAAAGATATCATTTGGGAATGGTACTGATTAATTTTAGGTGAAAATCTACCGAGCCGTTTTCTGTTAATTAATTGTTGAAAAAAAGTGTTAAATTTTCGTCCACATTTGAGCTCATCCTACCGAACCGATTTTGAAAAATCAAAAAACTGTTCGAAAGATATCATTTGGGAATGGTACTGATTAATTTTAGGTGAAAATCTACCGAGCCGTTTTCTTGTAATTAAATGTTGAAAAAAAGTGTTAATTTTCGTCCACATTTGAGCTCATCCTACCGAACCGACTTTTGAAAAATCAAAAACTGTTCGAAAGATATCATTTGGGAATGATGCTGATTAATTTTATGTGAAAATCTACCGAGCCGTTTTCTTGTAATTAACTGTTGAAAAAAGTGTTAAATTTTCGTCCACATTTAAGCTCATCCTACCGAACCGATTTTGAAAATCAAAAACTGTTCGAAAGATATCATTTGGGAATGATGCTGATTAATTTTATGTGAAAATCTACCGAGCCATTTTCTTGTAATTAACTGTTGAAAAAAAGTGTTAAATTTTCGTCCACATTTAAGCTCATCCTACCGAACCGATTTTGAAAAAAAAAAAAACTGTTCGAAAGATATCATTTGGAATGATGCTGATTAATTTATGTGAAAATCTACCGAGCCGTTTTCTTGTATTAAATGTTGAAAAAAAGTGTTAAACTTTCGTCCACATTTAAGCTCATCCTACCGAACCGATTTTGAAAAATCAAAAACTGTTCGAAATATCATTTGGGAATGGTACTGATTAATTTTAGGTGAAAATCTACCGAGCCGTTTTCTTGTAATTAACTGTTGAAAAAAAAATTTAAGCCGTTTTTCATGAACTTTTTTTGGCGATATACATCATGGTCTTATAGAACTTACTGTAATATTACGGCCTTACAACAAGTAGTTTAATTTTAAAAATTCGTCAAACTTTGCTAAAATTATTATCGTTTTTTTTTAAAGTAGGATTGATGAAGTATATTATTTACACATTTTTTTGATCAAGTCGATTATTTACACATATCGGGAAGTTCATGTAATTTGCCTCAAGGCTAAATACCAAACCAACTAGTTTTCGATATCTTTGATTTAGCTCGCATAAATGCCTGGATTTTGTACAAGCAAATGACAGGAGAAAATATCTTGCGACAAGATTTTTTACCAAGCTAGCAGAAGAACTCGGCGCCGATTTTCGAGAAGTCCGTGAATAACCAAAATAAGAAACAAATACGAAAGTATCGTTGCCTAAGTCTACTACAGATGCTTATAAACGTATGAGATGTCAAATAGGATACTGTAAAAAAAATAAAACCAACAAATTTGCTCTAAATGTAAAAATATGTTTGCGGAAAATGTACAATGGACACAATTATACGTAAAAAATGCGATTAACTATGAATTAAAAAAAGTTATTTTTGCTTTTGTAATAGAAATGCTCAACATACTATTTTGCTTAATTATAATAAATTTAATTTTTATTTTTATTTTCTTCCTAACATCCATATTTCATACATTCAAGCATGAAACATAGAGTCGGGTCATTTGACCCGCTATGGTAGAATTAGGTATATATCAAGTCTTGGTATGATTAGTGTTAATAATGAAATTTAACTAATTTAACTTAATTTAATTTAACTATAAATATAAATAAAAAGTAAGCTATTGCCAATGTGTATCTACTATTATTATTGACTTCCCGTAGTATGAGTTATTTTAATCGTCCAAAAATCGAAATTGAAATTTTTTGCATATCTTTACATTTCAAACATGGAAGAAAGGGATTTTTAACTTCCCGAAGGAGAAGTTTGTTTTCATCAAAAAATCCGAATCGCTAATTTTATGTTTTCTCGACGTTTCGAGCCATTCTGAATCGAATGAGACCAAATTTGGAAAAAGTGTGTGTGTGTGTGTGTATGTGTGTGTGTGTGTGTGAACAGATTTTTTGCCGTAAATCGACGTTTTCTCCAAAACGGCTGGACCGATTTCAAAAATTTAGAAGCCATTTGATGTATCTCGATGAGGACTATCGTCTCTGAGTTTTGTGCGGCGATCGGCCGGGCCGTTTCTTTGTAAATTGCAGAAAATTGAAAAATTTTTCGTCCACGTTTTAGCCCGCAATTCTGAATCGATTCTGAAAATTCAAAAACCATTCGATAGATATTGGTTGGGAATCGTGCTGATTAGTTTTTGGTAAAGATCGGCCGGGCCGTTTTCTTGTAATAACGTTTTTAAAAAAAAAATTTCGACGATTTTTATGATTATTTTTTTGATGATAGATACCATAGTTTTCTAGGTCATACTAAAATATTACGGCCCTACGACAACTGGTTCAGCTTTAAAAATTCGTCAAAGTTTGCAAAAATCAGTATGGTCTTTTTGGCATTTGTCAAAATTAGACTTTTGATCGACGTTTTCTCAAAAACGCCTGAACCGATTTTAGAAATTTAAAAGCCATTCGGTGTATTTCGGTGAGGACTATCGTTTGTCAGCTTTGTGCAACGATCTGCCAAGCCGTTTCTTTGTAATTTGAAAAAAAGTGTTAAACTTTTCGTCCACATTTAAGCTCATCCTACCGAACCGATTTTAAAAAATCAAAAACTGTTCGAAAGATATTAGTTGGGAATGATACTGATTAGTTTTAGGTAAAAATCTACCGAGCCGTTTTCTTGTATTTAACTGTTGAAAAAAGTGTTAAATTTTCGTCCACATTTAAGCTCATCTTACCGAACCGATTTCAAAAAATCAAAAACTGTTCGAAAGATATCATTTGGGAATGATGCTGATTAATTTTAGGTGAAAATCTACCGAGCCGTTTTCTTGTAATTAAATGTTGAAAAAAAGTGTTAAATTTTCGTCCACATTTAAGCTCATCCTACCGAACCGATTTTAAAAAATCAAAAACTGTTCGAAGATATCATTTGGGAATGATGCTGATTAATTTTAGGTGGAAATCTACCGAGCCGTTTTCTTGTAATTAAATGTTGAAAAAAGTGTTAAATTTTCGTCCACATTTAAGCTCATCCTACCGAACCGATTTCAAAAAATCAAAAACTGTTCGAAAGATATCATTTGGGAATGATGCTGATTAATTTTAGGTGAAAATCTACCGAGCCGTTTTCTTGTAATTAAATGTTGAAAAAAAGTGTTAAATTTCGTCCACATTTAAGCTCATCCTACCGAACCGATTTCAAAAAATCAAAAACTGTTCGAAAGATATCATTTGGAATGATGCTGATTAATTTTAGGTGAAAATCTACCGAGCCGTTTTCTTGTAATTAAATGTTGAAAAAAAGTGTTAAATTTTCGTCCACATTTAAGCTCATCCTACCGAACCGATTTTAAAAAATCAAAAACTGTTCGAAAGATATTAGTTGGGAATGATACTGATTAGTTTTAGGTGAAAATCTACCGAGCCGTTTTCTTGTAATTAACTGTTGAAAAAAAGTGTTAAATTTTCGTCCACATTTAAGCTCATCTTACCGAACCGATTTCAAAAAATCAAAAACTGTTCGAAAGATATCATTTGGGAATGATGCTGATTAATTTTAGTGAAAATCTACCGAGCCGTTTTCTTGTAATTAAATGTTGAAAAAAAGTGTTAAATTTTCGTCCACATTTAAGCTCATCCTACCGAACCGATTTCAAAAAAATCAAAAACTGTTCGAAAGATATCATTTGGGAATGATGCTGATTAATTTTAGGTGAAAATCTACCGAGCCGTTTTCTTGTAATTAAATGTTGAAAAAAAGTGTTAAATTTTCGTCCACATT